ATTACCAAGCAACCTCGCTTACCACCAATCTACTTTATATCGCTCATACCTCTCACCTTATCCTTGACAAAAAAACAAATCACACAAAAGTCCAGTAATCAGATATCGCTGTGCAGTGAATTTGTAAAAATGGTATTAAGTTGGTGCATAACTGCACCAAGGCTGAAAAAATCGTCTTGAAAATGTATAACAAACTAATCAATTTACAAAGTATGCTCTTTGATGTGCATACGGAATGTAGTATCCAGCAATTTTAGGGACAAAATTCAAAAAATTTGATTTCTTTCTTGAACAGCTTGTATCTTGCCATACGCCATCAAAAGATCTTGACTCCACATGCGCGAACAGCGCAAGATTTCTCTTCTCAACTACGCATCAAATTAGAAGATTTTGTTGAAGCTGGAAAAGTAATGGAATTGTAAAATTTCTGAGGCAAAAATCATGCATCAACCCAATGATAAGCATATTTGTAGGAACAGTTATTGTTGACATAAAGTAGCGATCGAAATCGGCCTCAGGTCTCTTATTCGATAATTCATACTCTTATGCAGATAAGAGCTGGAAGCGTAACACATCACATTAAATGTTCAGACATCATATATCCGAATTAAAATAAATAAGCAGTTTCGGATCTTTACATAATTTATCCAAAATCCATAGAAGACAACGATATGCATACTCTGGTCATATTTTGTGACTATCTTGTTTTTGTACTAAATTTCTTTAGTTTACGTCCATTTACATAGAGAGGACAAACAGGGCTCGGCACAGGTGGCTTACAAGCAAGCTGGATATCGTTTTTGGGACGAAAAGCAAAGGGGGTTTCGTTTTTGTGAGCGAAGACATACGGAAAATTGACGACGGCGACCTTTTTTTTTTAGTCGACGTTTCGTTTTTTGGGGGATTTTCGGGAATTTTTCAGGTTTTTAGAAGAAATTTGGTTCAGGGTCATAGGGGACTTCGTAAAAATTCCCAAAAGTCAAGGGGGACTTCGTTTTTTCCATTTTCATCTAGCCACCTCGTGCCGAGCCCTGAGGACAAACATATAATTTATGATCGAATAATTTATTCCCAATTTTGTTCTATCATTGTTGGATTTCGAACCCTAGTATATAGAGAAAAGGCAAGATAGATTTTCATAAAATCCTTGAAAGACATTGCACATTATTTATTTTTTGAAAGCGACATACTGGGCAATCCCTTGTTAAATTGATCATTTATATTTCAAAACAATGACTAATTCACAGATGAGGTTCATTTAAAGCCCTCGATCCAACACTTTATGAAAAATTCATTCATCTGCACTTTCCGCTTACTGAAATTGCTATAATAATCGAGGATGTGGGGGCGACTAACGCAAATTGAGCTACATATCCGAGCAAAGACTTCCTTTTTCCTCTGCTAGTTCCCACCTGAAGTTCCCCCCCCCCCGCTTCTGCTTCCTTGTTTTACCCACGCACTTTGAATCTGCATCTTTTTAGAGCCTAAACATAAAGCAGCACCTCCTCCGCCACACAAAGAACTTTCTTGCTTTTTGCAGTCCAAAAGCCCCCCGAGGTATTAACTTTGACTAATCATGGCTTTGACTTTTGTGGGAGATCCCACGCAATACAACTCCCCTTGCAAAATCTTATAAACAGTGTGAAAAAACAAGAAGTGCACCATCAAGATATATAAGGACACATCAGCTCAAGTCTACTCTAGAGAGTTTTATCGAATCATCTGCGTAGGGGGACTCATTTGCGGCTTAAATTCGAGATGTTCTCAAGATACAAAAGTAGATCAGAAAATCTAAGGAAACGCACTCTAATCTTACGTTATTTATCAGTTTGTGAAAAGATTGGACAGTCTACGAGGTAGCAAAGATTTGAAGACTGTAACTACTAGGTTGATACATAAATCTTGCACCAAAATTTTTGAAATTCTGAATGAATTGTTTTGTTCAATAGATAGTAGAGAGAAAAACTTGCGCTTTAAGAATGTGCTTGATATGAAATTTCATAAGGTCATATGACAGCTATATAAGCTCACACAGAAAGTGATTTTCGATTTGTGATTAAAAATGCTAAAACTTCTACTGAGATTTTAAAATATTTTTGGTTTTTTTTATGACCTGCCTTTTTCGACTAAGAGAAGTTGGTAGTGAGGATGTTTCTAGAAATAGTTATGAAACTTTTTTTTCAAATCGACTTGTTGATTTTGTTTCATATTCGTTTTCTAAAATGCACCATAAGTTCGTACTTTTGGTCTAAATAACAAGGAGCATATTGTGCAAACTGATTGTCTGTTTAATCACTTTAAAATGATTTCTTTCTAATTTATGATGCAAGAATTTTGCGCCAAATAGTAAGCATCAATTATTGCATTGAACAGAAGAGTTTATCCATCCTTCGCTAGAGTGGAAACAATCAATTACAGAAGTTTTAAATTTATCGCTTCCTTTTCTTGTTTTTTCTCTTCGATATAGTAATACAGCACATTCTTCTTCCAATACTATCGAATTCTGATTGAATAATATGGCACTTTGGAGGAGCATTTCATTAATTAAAGGTGCTTGAATGCATTGAGGTTATCAAGGTTTTTTTGCTTTCGCCACTGCTTATCAAACGGATTAATCAAGCACACAACATTATGAATGAAGCCTCGTAAGCCCCAATTACAGTAAAAAAAACACAATTCAACGATATTCCTACAGCTGCAAATATGTGCGGTTTCGACACCATATATACAAATTGGAATGACTTGAATAATAAAATTGAAGAGTTTTCAAATGAAGCACTGCGGAAAAATTTCAGGGGTGCTTCTCAAAATTTTTGCGGGGTCCCCAAACCCTGAAATCTGGAAAAGGGGCGCATTTTATAGGGCTAATTTGAAATTTTTAAAAATTTCGAAAATTATTTTAATTGTTTACAAGAATAAACAAGTCATTTGCGCATTTTTGTGGGCCAGGTAAGTAAATTTCAAAAATTTTGCAGCCCATTCTCGCGCTCTGCCCCCGCACCCCCCCCCCTCGGTCCGCCACTGTGAGATACATGTATTTTACAATGACCGACAACCAAAAATTAATGAGGAGTTAAGTTATCGTATCTTCACAAGAACACTAGGAGAACCGATATTGCTGGCGCCGTCAGAATGACAATATTCATATGATCCTTCCATCCATTCTTGAACATTACCCGAAAGAATCTTCAAAAATGAAGTGACTATCAGAAACAATAAACTTGTAGGATCAGAAGCAGTTTGGTGAATTATTCTGCTTTTAATGGTTTATAAACAACAACAAAAATGATGTCCACCACGTTGCGAGATATTTTACCTTCACGCAGCAACCTTGAAAGTAAGGAGGCAAAATTGAAGCAGTGAGAAATCTTGAGGCAAAATAACGGTATTATTACAACTTTTGTGCTAGATATTTTTTGAACCGATTCCCAATCCACAGAACAATTGTTTAAATGCAGATAGATAACACGGTTTGAATGAGCTGATTGTAATATATCGGATAAACTCATCACACTTCAAATAAGCTTTATGGATGGATAAATTTCCTGGTTGTATATAGCTCAGCGACATAGCTATTGTTGTTTTTAGCCTTAAATTATGTTCCATTATTCTGTGTCCTGAGATAAAAAAGATCTGTATCCGTTGTTGTCAATGGATGAGGAAGTAAAAATGTATGCTAATGCTATTATACGTAGTGTCCCAAAAAATGTGCCTACTGTTTTGAAATGTTGATAGCTCTTGTGCCGTGATCTGGCTGCAACTTAGATTCACATTACATAGCAAATCACCGACCGCTCTTCATTATTACTTTAAGATTAAGGTAGGAACTTCTGGCTTATGGCGCTATAGTGAAAAGTCGCTATTTGAGATAATCTTCAGAAAAAAATCTGAAAAATTGTTTGATAGAGCTTTCATGGTCGCTGAGTCAATAGTCAACACTACAAAATTGTGAAGCTTTTTTTTACGATATAATCACATATCTTATGAAGAATTACGACTGCCGACTGCTTACATCATAACCTTTTATGGAAATCCTATGATGAGATACAAAATTTATATTCAAGATCAGCAACTCTAATTAGTCCACTATGAGAGTTTTCAGGTGGGTCTGTTTCCTTCCTGAGGCAAAATATGACCCTCCGTGACTCAAAATCTTCAAAGTTACTAGCGTGATCCCACAGTAATGAAGAGTAACCAAAGATTCACTTACTGTACGTTTTAGTTCAAGCTGATTTACAAAATAGTACTTACGGCTTCTCTAGGGATTCCATAATAAGAGAGTTATTAACAATCAACAGACACATTTTGGGATGCCCTTACTAAAGCATATTTTGGGATGCCCTGTACTAAAGCTCCCTTCTACTTACAGTAAAACCCTTCTCACTTGTCTCTTACTCATCCTTTTTGTAAGATTACGGTAGGCATACGCACTGGATTGACTGAGATTTCTCTGTTTTTCTACAATAGGATTATTACTGATCAAGACTATATGCGGCTTAAGAGTTCTCTTATTGTTAGTAGTAGTTGCGGTAACTAAATGAAATAAAACCCCACAGATATGTTATTTGTTATCTGTATGTCAAATGTGTACAAAGTTACATTTCAATTTACAGCATATTGCAATCATCACCCCATACCATATACCTACCGCAACCTTGCAGGAAAGCATTACCGCGCGAAATCCCCATTCTTGACCAGCATGTCAAAACCCGGCGTTTTTTTGATGTAATAAAGCGCTGCCGTTTAAGACGTCTATGTAACCTTTGATTCAACTGGCTTGGCGACTGGAAGGCGGGGCTTTGTGACCCAATTAAAGCCACTCACGCCCGCGATGCAATCTGCGTCTCTATCGCGCGCGTGCTCTCTGATTATTAGCCAGCCTTAATTAGGTCACTAAGCCCCGTCTTCCAACCGCCAAGCCAGTTGAATCACAGGGTAAACTATGTCTATGGGCATTCTACAATCACACTGCAGCATTCCAAGAGATACATGCAAGAAGAATCGTTTTGCGTAATTTATTGTAATACATTGTCATACAAAATATTAAAAGAGGTCATTGTCATGGCATTATGATATTCTGTCAGTCAAAAATAGTACAAATGGAAATTCAAAATTGAAAGAAGGGCTCACTAGGGCATACTATGAGGATCAAATTCTAATCCGACTATGTATATGCACAGAAACACGAACAACTGCAGGCACAACAAAATGAAAGAATACTGTCGCAACATTGCGATAAACAACGACATATAAATTTGTAACGATTTTGGTCTTGAGGTATCTGTTCAGCTGAGAAACTTTGTCGACAATATCGTGCCTATCTCTAATAATATGAAGGGGAGGGGGAGACATCACCTCCTATAATGGTGCTAGAAGCATACGAACAATTTAGGAAGTGAATGGATTATCAAGTAAAACTTTGTACCAAATAAAACATTCATACAAGCTTTCTATATCAGAAGAAAGGAAAACGGACTAATCGAAACTCTTTGCTGAATGCGCAGAACTCTGAGGAGACGTTGAACAACTAGTTGGAGGTGGAGTGAGTAACGCAGCCGTAACAGCCGCTTGAGCTGAACATGATGGTGAAAGTGGAGCCATCGTTGGGTATTTCTGAAATGAAAACATTTTAGGGTGTTCCAAGAATTGATTTCAAATATTCAAAGAAACAAACAGAGAAAAGTTGTGTCAAGGGGTAAATTCTCATTGTCGGGATGTTTGTTAGACTAATGCCGTAAAGGAAAGGTGATAGCTGCACATTTTTAAGGTAGGAAAACATCAGTAAAAAACAGTATGTGATTTGCAGCTTTCAGAATGAATATCATTTCATTAACAACTACCGAGATGCTTGATTCAAAAAAAGTAGATGTGGAGATAACGAGTAGAAGATCGTGCACAAACGGGAAAAAGCTCATAAAGCTCAATGTAACATTAGAGAAATTGTCGTGACAAGATGAAAGAACGCACAAGTAGTACAACTCACTCCTACGTTTGCGCCTCGTACTCCAAGATGGCGCTCATACTCCGTCAGTTGTCCCATAAAGTGGAAGTTCGGAGCTATACTTGCATTCCTACGCAACACCAAATCGTAAGCATCTTCTAAGCTCCACCTAAAACATAAACATAAACATAGAAACACGCAAAGGAGAACCATAAACTTACTTATTTTTCGCCATCAAATATGCAAGGCAGACAGTGACACTACGAGAAATCCCTGCTAAACAATGGACAAGACAAGCATCGCCAGCACGCGCTGCAGCCTCCACAAAGGCAATGGCTTCTATAAGGAAAACGTTCAATGAAATACAAAAGAAGAAGGAACAAAAGTTTGACATGCCTGGGAAAAACTGCGTGAGATTATGTGAGCTATTGTCGTCGACAGGAATTTTCAAATAGTGGAATGATGGGTTATCCTCGAATGTGTTTGGGAGGTTCGAGGTGACGTTGATGATATAGTGCGCACCAATCCTGAAAGAGCTATGAGTCAATAAAATAGGAAATCATCGAATAAAATGCTTAACTTATCCCTCAAAATAAAACTGTCATGATTACAGAGAAAAAAGAGTTCAGAATTTCGTTCCACTAACTTACATCTCGTGATACAGCTAATCCAAGAGATTACAAATCGCTTTCACAAATATGAATCAAACGCAGCACCTTCCCACGCTTATGCAAATCACGTGCAAACACTATAGACAAGCTTGATGTGAGCTAAAGATAGGTCTAACATTATTCTAGCACATTCATGCATATAGGAACAACAACAACGACGCGCGGCCCCCGCTTGAGAACTTTTTCTAAATTTAGCCAGCACTTTAGCCGCCTATATCATAGTGCAAACGATATTTACGAGACAATTCCCAGAAATAGCACTTTCGTTATAGTAAAAGCATGGCTCAGACATAAATTTTATCCACAACAAAAGAAATCCATGATAATCCTGCGCTATCAAAAAAGGACAACTAATCTTCATGCACTCAAAAAAGCCTTGCTTGGGTTCGATTAAAAGTTCACAAAGCAATGAACACGCGCATACAAATCAACCAAAAACAGAGCAATTTCATTTCATTAAATGAGCTCCGCACCAACTCATTCCAAATCCATGCTTTGTTCTTCAAGAGCAAAAAAAGTAAAGCAAAGCAGCCTTACTACGATCGAATTGAATTCATTCGCGTTGGCGTAAAATACGTGGTGGCACAATGTAATGTGATGCATAATTGACGCAACGAAATTTTTTTGGCACATGACAACGTTGGTGTGTCTATTTGAATCAATGGGGTTGAATAGTGAAAAAAAAGACAAAAATAAAACAACGCTCTGTTGCGTTGGAAGCTTGTTAAGCTAAACAGGAAGTTCCATCATCAAAAGAATCAGCACAAAAAAAATTCTATGACATCATAACGTAACAAAAGTCCAACGTTACACGTCGCAAAAAAGGACTCGAAAAGTGATAAAAGATTGAAAAGTGATAAAAAAGCAAAAAGCCTCCAAGCAATAAAGAAAAAATAGTTTTGTCTGACATAATAACGTGAAAGCTGGCAAATTTGGTTTATGGTGAAATCAAAAAAAATTAGTTGAGCTGTAAGGTGGCTGTGTAACAATGAACTCGATGAAAAGGGGAAATACTCACCGCTTTAAGGCTTGAGCGTCGCTGGCAGTTTCGTAGTTGCCAAGGAAAAGGTAGGGCAGAATTTGGACAGGGAAGACTTGGCGCTTGTCTGTAGATGGTGGAACACCAGGTTCGATACGAAGGGCACTAAAATGAGGGAGCATAGTGAAAAACATAGTTGAGCAACATGAATGTCCCACAGGGAATGAATTTCAAGAAAAATTTCAGGAAAATAAAGATTAGAAAAATGACGTTTTGACAAACATGATGTTTTCTAGATAACTTTTGCACAATAACAATGGGACTCAAAAACAAAACCTTGTTTAGACACTGCAAAAATTATTACGCACTTGAGATTTAGGCACACTACGTCGCCAGATGTTCGGGAGGGTTGCCGTTCATCATCGACGCGTAATGATGGGAAAGCTGAGAGAACTTCCTCAACAGGATCTGAAAGAGATCGTGAAAATATGAATCACGTAATAAAAATTTTTATTTCTCACCAGCAAGGACCTGATACTGAAGGTCTGCTTTTCGCAAAGCATTTGCCAAAGCATCAGATGTTGTGCTGTCAGCGCCGTGATCCGGAATAATGACCACTTTCACATCCGGATCGTTAAGGCGAGGTGATATAGTGGACAACGACAAAGAGCAGTTAACCAAACGACGAAATAAAACATTCGGAAGCCGTACTCTAAACAATTTGAAGCTTTTCCCATGCATACAAAATGGAAAAAAAAACTACTTTAACAGTTGGTGCAAAAATTACCTGCATGCATTTTTGATGGCAGATCCACCTATTCGGCAATCTAAAATGCATATCGAGCGAGGCTCCGTCTTGACATAATGGTCCAATTCTTTGCCAGTGATTCCTTCCTCTCGATAGGATGATGTAGAAGGGACCGGGGTGCTTACCATAACAATTCTGAAAAATTTGGTTTTAGGATGCGATTCGAGCGTAAAAAAACGAGTGACGAGTAAAAAATGCTAGAAGATTGTTTCACAAGACCGAAAAGAAGGAATGTCTCTTCTGACAGTAGGCGATTGCACAAGGCTTAAGAAGTGAGACAAAACACAAAACTATAAAAATCGTTATTTCAATTCGAAACCATTCGAAAATATGTTTTGCTGTCAGTAGAAGATGCTATATCAGAACATGATAGAATATGAAGCAACGTCATCAATAAAATGGATAAAATTGCAACATTTTGAAGAAGAACATTTAAAATGGTAGGGAGAATGTTGTCAAGCATAATAACTTCAATGATTTGAAGTGAAAATCAGATAAGCAAAAAGAGAAGAATGAGACCACCTTGGAGAATTTATACCAAGAATCAAACAAGTTGAAAACAACACAGTGGTTCCACAAAAATTGATTTGAGATCACAGAACAGCTGTTAGAGGGTGGCCAGGAAAGCCAGCAAATGCTGGATTATATGTGATGAGTGAAGTAAATCGCAGAATATTAGCTTGAAATGCAAAATTAGTTCGGAAAAATGCGAAGAAAAGAGACTAATCGATAAGCTAACAGAAAAAAATTCCGACTGGCCGAATAGAAACAGCTAAAGCGATGAGGTTAAACTTAGGAAAGCCAAATATTGACTATGAGCGGAAAAAAGCGTGAGAATATCAAAAATTCGTGGTGTCTAGCTCATTCCATCGGTCGCGCTTTGTAACGTGACGGACGGGGACGAGGAGCTAAAGAGCGCCGGAAGCGACCGCCCCCACCCACGCGGGCTGTCGGGGGGCAAGAAGAATTGCCCCGCTTGCATTACGAAACGAGCGGATAGAGCTGATCAAGGCGATAATTCTGTCGAGGACAGGAGCGAATAAGGATGATTGATGTTCTTTTATTACTATTACGTGTAAAAGGGGTGGATTTTTTAGTTTATTTATCTAGACAAAGGCACACATGAAAGAAGGCGAATGTTGCGAAGCATCTTACAATTTTACAACGAAAAATGACAAAAATATAGTGAAAAATTCTTTTTTTTTTTCATTTCGATTTACAGTCGCCAACAAGTCACTGGTAGTAGCTATAAATCTTCAAAATCAGGAATCAGCAAAATAAGAATGCTAAAGACTCGCTTGGCTTGATTTTGAGGAGGAAAATCCATCTTAATCTATTATACCATTGTGAGCGAATGGTCACGAGACGAATGCGATACTCAGCTTCTAAGCAATGATATAAAAAAACCTGTAATTTTAACCTGTTGAGTAACGTTACGTGGAATAGACGTCAAATCTTATACAAAGCGTTGACGAAGAGAAATGGAAAGAAAGGTAGTAAAAAAAGTGAAAAAGGAACACATCTGCCCAGAAATGTTTATGGAACTGATCCCGTGATACGCATAACAATTACGTATATCTTCCGCGAAAATTCAATTTACGTGGTGCATTCGCAGTGCAATTCAAATTCTCACATGCTCGCATTGAAATCCGATCGACAAGTGCAGATGTTTGTTTGGATTGGACGAAGGTAAATATGTCTGGTGGTGGTGCTCGAATAACCTGACCAAACTGGCTAATATCCAAAGACCAAAATGTGCAACTGCACCAGCTGAGCTAAGATTTGACAGCAAGTGTACACGATGGTCGATGATTACAAAAATTTACAGCAAGTAAAGAACTACATTCTGTCTTTGAAGACTGAAAGTATGCGAAAATGCTTCGATACGAACAAGCAGCAGTTTTTCTATGACGCATATAATTCCTCCAAAAAGCCTCTGCACAACTAAGGACTTCACATGGGAAAAAACACACGAAAGTATCATCTACGATGATTTGCAACTCTTCCAGAAAGCGAAATAATCAGCCCGAAATCCCAGCGAATTGTTCAAAAGTGAACCAAACCTTCAGAAGCCACAAACAACTTTTGAAAAGAAAAATAACGCTCGGGAGAAAATGGTATCTGCGAGGCTTCATCGCTTAAAATAGCTACCCCAGATTAGTGGTCCCTGAACTATTTCCTAAACAAACCAAGACCACCCACGGCAAACGCAACATACACCCACTTATACATCGAGAGACACAAACATCATCACAAACAGCAAAGACAGCAGCTTAAATGATCAAAAAACAAGCATGGCTTCCGGCGAATGATTGTTTATGCAGTGCGGACGCACACTGTAAACGACCGTCGAACAGGCTGCAGTGTCTGCATCGTGCAGACCTGCATGATTTACGGCTTGCGATCGCAAATCTTCATCGTTCACGAGATTTTCCATTGGTGCCGTCATCTTATATATCTTTCAAGCACATGAAAGCTACGAATGCTTGTGCTGAACAAGTTGAAACTTGTTTTTCAAACTTTCTTCAGTCTGAAATAGTAGAGAGGACAAGTTTAGGCTTGTTAGGCATGAGTAGCGTAGCGTTCTTATATCCCCCAAGCAAGAAATATAGTATATATCAGTTGAGATATAAGCCTCATCAAGAAACAAGGCTTGAAGTAGCACTTGACATAGTGGTTAACATAGTGCCAACTCATTTGACGGAACATGGTGTTTTTGCAGTGCCGACAACGTTCGTGCGGGGAAGATGGCATAAAGAGTAAGATTTGAAAGCATTCTGTGCGCAATCAGAAAGTGGCTGCGGAATATAGCTACAAATATTTGGAGATAGACAAAAATGTAAAACTTTCTTTGCCAAAAAGTGGAAGTGTTTGTTGTCTGATGTAATCAGCAGATTTTGCATAAACAGTTAAAACGGATACGGAACGAACACGGATAAACAAGTAATTTGCCATCAGTGGTATGGTACAGTGATGACGTGCCCAGAATTTGCTCGGGAGGGAGGGGGAAAAGCCTCCGGAAAAATTTTATAGGACTGGATTGAATTTTCAAAAATTTTTGAAGATTACATTGGTTATTTACAAGTATAAACAAATTGTTTGCACAGACCATCTAAACTCATTATTCATACAGTAGATGTAATTTCAAGAACTGATTAAGAATTTTCCGCAAAGCTCTAGCGTACGCCTTTGGGCGAACACAAACCACGAACATACAATCTGTCACAATCGTGTGATATGAGCGGCAAAGGTTTGTCAGTCTACGCATACTTGGCTATCGTGACAGGACCATGTCTGCACTCTACCGCCTCTTCTCAATCTTACGCTGCTAAGGTGACAATGGTTTGCGAGCACCCAGCGCTGCTGATAACCATACCAACGTTATCTGACTTCGATTGGAAACAGACTACATCGTGGTTATGAAATGAAGAGTTTAGAACAGCCCATGAGGGGGCGCGCAAGCCTGACTAATACGTTAGATTCAGAAAGCTTGTTGGAGACGCGTAGGCGCGAGAAGCTGCTTCGAAAAAGTTGGGGCATATTCTTATGACTTCAGCTTTGGTGGCTAAATTTGTCGTTGGCTATGAATGGTCTCACGCCCACCTGCTAAGAAACTCAATCTAATTCCATTCTTTTCCAGGGTGAATAATAATATGATGTTTTGTCTCTCCATTTGAAAGTTAGTTTTTGTGATAAGAAAGTACTACTATTAACTTTGTATGTACGGAAAGAGGTTTCAGATAATGGAGATTCGTGTGATCCAGTATATATCATCCACTATATGATTAGGAGACGCGAGACCGCATTGCGGGCATTGTCCTAACAAGTTTGAGTTTGTTCTTGCCTGTTTCTAAAGAGTGAATAAACCTGGACGAGATAAATAACAAGTATTAACCTGATAAGTACACGACGACTAGGCTTGTTTTGACAATGTGTGCAAGGCGGTCTCGCGTCTCCTAGTCATAGAATGAATACATGTGGAAGGACAATAGAATTCAGTACATGTACATTGTGTGCAGTTGCACGCATTAGGTTATCATATTTCTGGACTAGATTCACTGGTTTCATTGTTCCGAATTTGGTATCGATTCGTTTTGCATGGTGGGGTCCTTTTTCAGGAAGGAGGGGGAGGGGGGGGGGGGAGGGTGCCAAGGCATAGAAATTACTTTTTTGGTAGTGCTACTTTACTCGGCGGAAAGGGATTGATTAATATGATTGCAGGAGTTTGGGTGATCATAGTATCGTCGAGTCGTCGACCGCACGGACTGACCGTAGACTGCGGCACACGCGCGACGCGGCTGAAATGTTACAGAGCGCGACATGTGAAACAGCGATTTGTACTGGCACAACATTTGGCCGGGCAGCACGCCTACGGCCATCCGTGCATCGACGACTCGACGGTAACTGTCAAAGTCATTTTGATAAAGTCTTTTGGTAGGGTTATGGTGAGTGTATGGTTAGGATCCCACCGCAATCCCACAGCAAGACTTTGCTCCAACAAGTGTACGATATCGCAAACCCTATGTAAAATACCCCTTCATTTATTACCGTACCTACCGTAACCTATAAAAAATGCCTATCATGCGGAGCATATAAGGAATTATATGATCAACATGTCAGCCATATGTGGAAAATTTAGCGGTTCCGGGAGCACTGCCCAAAGCGAAGCACTAACAACTTTTTCCTCAAAATTGAGCAACCTCTATATCCTCGAATGTCCTCAGAAGAAAAAGGACAGAGGATTAGGCCTATCCGACAAAACAAAATTAAAAAAAAAAGTGATTAATCTTTCCAACAAAGACACTGCCTGAAGTTTGAAGGTAAGAATGATAACAATGATAATTTCTTTTGTTCTTTCGTATGCCTTAGCTAATGATTCTTTAGATCTAAAGTTCTTCTTATCCCTCAAAGGGTTTTATTTCTATAATCCCTGCAAAGGTTCTTTCACATAAACAATGAGTCAGTGGAACTGAGGAGGAAATACCGTAGACTTTGAGAACATCATGGAATGCAAATATGTACTTTTAGTTGTATGAAATCATTATGTTCACATTTTTAAAATGCATAGCACTGATATCGGTTACAAAGTACATGTTTTTTGCCACACCTACACTTAGACTATGACACCATTTGCAGATAAA